TGAATACCAAAACACAGTCTCGCACGAAAAGAATTTTGAACGTTAAGAACTCGAAAACTTCATTTTGATGGAGACTCTAGCAATAGTTTGGTCATTTAGACTTGTCGTATAAAAGGGAAGTGCTTATGAATGAGTTGATCTAGTTCTCAGAACGTTCTTCGCATCGATCGTGTTAATTCATGCTGGGTTTTGTGATTTGACTTAGGACATAGCTGCAGGCAATGCATTAGTCAGTAAATGAACTTTGATATAATGACGGCCTAATTTACATAACAATGCCTCCTCTGTAGGACTTACTATTTATGGCAACCCTTTAGCCCTTCCTTCAATCTTAAGATTGCCCACCTCTCATACACAAGCGCAAGTTACAAAAACTCCTGCACTTTTGTACTGTGTAAAGGTATTTAACTTTTTATCACCTTAATTTGAACTGGTTCATCGATTTACTTTCATCTACTAAGACTATCTAAATATTTGTCCTTTTTTCAACAACAAATATCAAATATTTTACTAATAATTAAATTTGATGATCAGATCTAGATAGGTAGTTAGTAACGGATTTGTCAGATTGGACTTGCTTTGTTAACTTTCACACTTTTCTTGTCGATTTGTTTGATTTTCGCTTGATGCCTTAACCAAATGGGTTTTGATTGTACGATAATTCTACTGCAAACAAATCATATATTTATCWGACGAAAATATCGTTTCTCTTGACTTGTTTGGCCTGCGACGCGTAACACAAATGCTGTGATTTCCTCGATATCTTTTACCAATTTGCCGAACTAAACATTTTTACTGGTCCAGATAATACTAGATACCACTTAGGGAGCTAAGCTGTATCGTTCCGAGGAAACCAGTATCCGAATCAAAGAAGATGGTGTTAAAGATTTATGGTTGATTGCTTCAAAAAGCACGCATTGGAGTGAGAGACTAGAACRGCCAAGCAAAGCGATAAACCTCTACTACGCTGAATGCTTCGGTGTAACTCATTGGAGTAAAGCTTTCACGCACCTGCTTAGACCAACCATTCGAGCCTTTAAATACTTGTACCGCTGGATTGTGAGGTACATGGTAAACAAAACTAGACGTTTTTGAAAAGTTCTGCTCGCGAATGTACGTCAACTTCAAAAGGTGTTGTGGAAGGCTGTGCACGGAATTCAGTTTCATAGCATCATCACAATTTGGCAAGTCGTATACCTATAGCTAATCGAACAGCAAGCTGAATGTCATCATAACTAGCAGTATTAGAACTTTGGAAGAAAAAGAGTTTTAAAAACTCTAAATGTACATAATTTTTGACGATGATTATCGAGCGCGAAACTGTTATCATACTTGGTTGCTAAAAGCCTTCCTTCATGTTGGCAAGATGTAACCTGTTTTTTTAGTTGCTGCAGGAAAAATCGTCCAGTGAAGAAGAACTTTACTCATTTATAATATTTCTTACACTATCACGAAATAAAACAAATATCTAAATGCGGAAAGTTAATTACATTTCGTGAAATATGCTTTACTGCACAAGGAAATTTTTTTTTTTTTTTTTTTTGAGAGGAATAAATCAAAGTTGTTTGTCGCACTGCAAATTCTTCAGATTGTTGCGCTTTTAGGTGGTTGGTTCCATGGACGTATTGCTAAGCACATGGTAGGAATTAGAGGGATGACTTTTATATCACTCTTGTAAAAACTATTTTATTACGAAATCATAAAGAAAGRTGCTTGGATTCTTCATTATGTTTCAAAATTAACATCGAGTTCGTGAAGGCATTTGCGGCAAACTACCAATGTCACGTTTCGTTATCCTTGTGACTATACTTATTACTTTGAAARATCCAAGAATTTACTCACTATTTTCAAACTTATCTACTTGATACGAAAACGTATTTACTCAAAAACCTTAAAGTTGTAGTGAAGGCTGATTGCTGTCCTTCGAGACTCAGTTGAAATCGGTTGCGCAAAGATGGCGAACGAACGCAAATTGGACTTTAGTATCAAAATGGCCACAAAACAAGAAAAAGACTTACTCGAATAGTTGGTATTTCTACAAGATTCAACAAAAGCTATTGTAGTTTTTTTGAACAAGTATTTTCTTATCAGTTCGTGATCYGAATATATTATATATTTATTTGATTTATTGATTTTATCAAGTAACTGCTCATTTCCACAATGAACAGTGAAGAAGAGAAGACACAATCAATTAAAGTGCCATGCAAGTGACTAGAACAACAAGAAGACACTAAGATTTTATCGAAACCGGAATATTTAAACACTAGGCTTGCAAAACTTCATGTTTACAAAATCGTTGTCCAACTCCTTCATATACGAAAAGAAAACCTATTGTAAAACAGAATTACYAAAGAAAACAATGATTTCTTAATGCTTTCGCACCTTTGGGTCCATCTTTATAGTTCCGTTAGAGAAAAGGTTCAATTTTGCATGTTATTGGTGATTTATATCATAACACAAATAGTTGTCAGTGACATATTCATGGAAGCAGGGCTAGACTCTATATATTGTTGTGAGAGGATAAAAAAACAGCACCAGTCGATTTGCATAGGGTTCTTTTGTTAGTAATAGCAAAAGAACTGCAGGTATTTTATATTCATTTATTTCTACACCTCTTAAGAGGAAACAGTTGGGTTTACTGGTTATCATTTGGGTCATTGAATAGTGATTACTCACTTGAATGGCAAAAAAATACACAGAAATTTAATCTCAACGAAACATAACGTTATTACTCCAGTTGTGCGTGAAGGAGGCTAACAAACAACGCTAAACAACAGGCACAAGAGGTATGAACGCGCATCMAAAATACATTCGCCAACTAAAAATRTAGGATTTTGTTAAACCGTTTGGAGTTGATTGGTATGAACATTTGTAAATTTTGTTTAAATGTCAAAAAATTAGGAATGCTATAAAAGTTGATCAAACTTTTTGAATTGCACAATTGAAAAGGAAAGTGCCTGAGGGTATGTTTAAAGCATTCCTTCACATATCAAGTCTAGTTACCCAGCCACATTGACTACTAYAGTCAACGCTCATCATTATAAAACTTAATTGCCATTTACAAGCGACTRTTATTTTTCAGTTAAACAACTATGACAGCCGCAAATCACAAGACTCTTCCATAAGTCGGACGGAAGCAGGATTTCAAAAGACGCGTCCCACTCTTTTGCGCTTCTTTTTGCTACTTGAAAGAAGTTTTCTCATAGTTCCAACAAATTAATTACTAAATCTGAAATTTTACAAGTATTGAATAGAGCATAGTGCTATTATTACCATGATACATACATTAGTTAATTAATCATAATGAATGCGGCATCTTCTCAAAACAACCGTTCGAAGGTCAATGTTTGATTATTAATAGCAATACATACTGACTCTACTCTTGCTGAACTGCGAAGTCAGTAAGTATATCGTGAGTCCAGCCGACCAAAAAATTGTATTCTGGTACGTTCACTCTGGCACTCCTACGCAAAGTTGCTCAGCGCTCGTTAGCTTTCTAATGACGCTATACTATTAATCGCTTCTTCTTTTAATATATGATTATATTTTTATAAATCCAAGATTTAGCTTCATCGTCGAATCCCACCAAAGATCTTAAGAACCCTCTTTATGAGAAATTGTTCGAGAACGTTTGATCGCATTAAGTGATTATGTATTCTGATCACGCCTCCAGTGATATTAATGTTTATTATTTTAGCTTGCAATCTTGAAATGCCATCACTCAATTAATAACTAATGGCAAACAATGCGAAGATTCGAAAATGAAAAGCGTGATCACATTTTGTGGATCCAAAAGAACAGTGGATATTCTAGACAATAACCGCTGGATGTGAATCATTATGGTTTAGTGGAGCGCGTCTATAATTCGTTTCGAATGATAGCATGAGCAAAGCTCCGTTACCAACTAACCGTTATTACCCATCGAATATACAAACGCTAGAAACTAACGGGATTCCCTGGCTGCAAATCGTGCGAAAGTGTTCCAGCAAGGTCTAGTTAATCCCTGCGGGTTACTTAACTCTTGCCTAATATGTAATGTTCCATCTGTACTAGTTTTCGAATACAAAGACTTTAGGGTCTCGTTACTAAGCCGTTGGCTCAAAATATGCTGCTAGTCTTTGTTTAGCAGTGATTATAGTCTCAGCATCATAAAAGCCTTTCTCAATAGCCTCCTATTGGGACTTAAAATTCAAATTTTTCATTCTCGAGGGTATTATTTTGCGGCTTTTTGAAAGATTCAASGCAAAGTTGACGAAAGTTTAGTTGGACGGAAATTTGGTGGCTTAGTTAGGGTAGGTAGGTACGGTCGAGTGCACAGATGTGGTTAAGATTTAGTCACACCCAGATGGTTCTGTTTGCTCTTTCATCGGCTCTCTTGTGTTTCTTAGGATTTCATTGCTCTTTTTTCTGTCTACTTGAAGCTAATTTTRATGAAAAGAGACAATGGAAGGCTTAGTTTTATAATGCAAATTACGCAAGGACGAAAAAAGCTGATGATGGAATCGATAAACAATACTTTATGAAAAAAGTTCAACTGACGCAATTCTTCCGGATCAAAATATTTTGAGATTTCACAAAGTTCTGAAGGTAGTTTTATGGTTGAGGTTCGAGAAAACCAGGCTCTTATAACTAAACTCTTATAAAACGGTCACTGAGGTGATAATTGCTTTATTAGCTCTTGTTGAGTGGCATGTCTTTTGTCACTATTCACCTTATTTGGAAACAAAMAACAATAGCTCGTGGTTTCCAACCAATCAGTTTTTCGGAAGCCAATGAAGTGTCAATCAAAACTCTATGTTGGTTCTCGGCGTGATATTAGAATGCGCTTCAGAAGAAGGGATCAGTAGTCACTAAGAAGTTTACTCAATACGTTGGGTACGAAGGAATTTGGTTAAACTTTTAAGAAATATCCTAAAGCAAGACTTACCAAAGACTTAACGCTCCAGTGAACTGTACCAGAAATTTGAWAGTATTTGTCTTCTTTATTTGACTTTCACAGTTTTGGCTGGCGACCAGGGGTGACAGAGTATTTAGTAACGCCTGACTGAGCCTTGCAGCGCCTGAGTGATTTTTCAAAAGTCATAGACACGAGCGTTCACTCATCTGCTAGAATGTCCCATAGTAAACAAGGTGGGTAGTCAAGCTCCAGCTACTTATGGCGTCTTGCAATAGTTACCTTCTTACAAATTTGATTCCTTACCTCTAGGTCATGGTGGAGTAAACCAACTTGGAGGTGTTTTTGTCAACGGTAGGCCGCTTCCCGATGGAGTTCGCCAGAGGATTGTGGASCTGGCCCAGAGCGGAGTTCGTCCATGTGATATTTCCCGCCAATTACRGGTTTCCCATGGCTGCGTTAGTAAGATACTTTGCCGTTTTTACGAGACGGGATCAATTAAGCCTGGTGTTATTGGAGGAAGTAAACCAAAAGTTGCAACCCCAGGCGTAGTGAACAAGATAGCAGAATACAAAATGTCAAACCCGACTATGTTCGCATGGGAGATTCGAGATAGACTTCTCAGTGAAAATGTTTGCAGTYCCGACAATGTTCCTAGCGTYAGCTCCATAAATAGGATCGTCAGGAACCGCATAAATAGCCCAGACAAAAATAACAACCCMAAATCCTCATCCAACGACAACTCGCAGCTCGATATGGCTTCGAAAAGCGAGCGTGAATACCAASAGGTAATGAACGTACCGCGATCATCTTACTCGATCAGTGGGCTTTTGGGGATTCCGATGCAGCACAGCCAGTTAACTTCACCAAGTAAACGCAAACATTCTGTGGAAAGCAACGACAGTACAGGTAAGAAAACTTTTCAACCTTAACAACGAAGAAAAAATTGACAGTTTTTAAATACTTTTGTTGCGCGCCAAATTTGCCCAACTTTAAAAAGATCATTCGCTGTTGTTCTATCTTTATCTATGTTATGCGAGAAGCAGTAGAGAAACTTGTCTTGCGTATAACATAGAGTAAAATAATATCTTTGCACCTTTGCCTGTGGTATATTTTTATTCAACTACTGTTCAGACTCGAAAATTCAACTAAATTTACAGTTGTTGCCTWACAAGTTAAAGCGTTTAATGGTTAGATGGGGTTAGATGAAAACRACGTGGATTTATTTACCACTGTACCTGTATTTTTGACGAACTMCTTTTCTTACTTTATATGCATTTTATTTTTATTCTACTAAGYACTATTCTCCAGGGACGTTTCTAATATAACTAGCAAACTCTTGTAGTAGTTTAAGCAATTTTATYTTTTACGGTGTAGAGTTTAGAGGTTTTAGTTACCGCAGTATGACCTGTTGCTCTGGTTTTAAATGGAGCGACCATGGTATTTGAAGCCACGTGCTGTGCTGTGCCACTATCTTGACTGTTTATTTATGTAAATATTATGAATTTACTTCGGAATTCATTTACTGGTTGCTGAATTTAGAAAACACAATGGCTATGATTTTAAATTTCTCCAAAAAAAACGTAATTCCACTTCTCGTGAAAATACATTCACCATTAAATTTTTATGTAAAATAGTATGTGTCAAAATGTTGCAGTTTAATGGCATCTCTGCTGTTAACTGGCTTCCTTAGTATGAATATAAATGTGTATATGTAAATCAAAATTCTTTTGTTGCAGTTTCAAAACTTCTGCTTAGTTGGCTATCCTATATATATTTTAAATYGGTTAAAACCTTTTAATAATTGAAAGGATATGGAAAAGATACAATTTCAACAGCAAAAATCAAGAGATTTCCAATGCTTTTCAATTTTGGAGCACACTGAAATTCAATACAGGTGTAATCAAACTATAATRTACTTGTAACCCTGTTGCCAAACCATGTTTGCTGGTGAGGGTCAAAACAATGATTTTTCTATATAATTTATTACATAAATAATTTTGATATATTGATGGTTGTGCAAATAGTTCAATTTGAAATTGGATTTTAAAATCTTAAATAAATCAAAAGTTTTTAACAGGTTGTTTGAAAAACAGATTAAGTTTCAATCAGATAACCTTTGGAACAGCATTGTTCTTATCATTCTAGTTTATATAATGAGATAGGTGTGGATTTCAGCRAACCATGATGCATGTTCTTGAGGGAATTACACTTAATACTTGTATAATTTAGGTAGGACAGTTTATGTCTTGGATAACCAAAGTACAGTAGTTTAAAAAGTTCCAGAGAGATTAGAAATGTCATTTAGAATTTTGTATAGTGAACAGAGGAAAATAACAGTTTAAAGTATAGCTCTTTCTACACAAGTCATATACATCCAGACTTGTTCTAATTTTTATATTGGCAATTTTCGATATTTTGCGAACTCAGTASTTGCAAGCTTTYATATTTTTTGATTGGTAGCAGTTAAAAAACCAAATTCCAATGGGCAACACACAACTTCTCAGTTCCTGTATTGAAAATAGCAGTAAATGTGATGTATTTCTGCATTAAAATATKCTGTTGCAGATTTGAATGGCTCAGTCGAATTTGTTAATATTTCATTAATGAGATACTTTTTTTTTAATATAWAGGAAGCCACTCAGATGATGAAGGCCACCATGATCCCAACTCCCCAGCACACCTGAAGAACAAGATGAGTCGGCGCCAACGTACAACATTTACTGATGACCAAATTGATAAATTAGAAAGAGTCTTTGAAAAGACCCACTATCCAGACGTCTTCACACGAGAAGAATTGGCACAGCAAGTCAATCTCTCTGAGGCAAGAATCCAGGTAGTTCATTACTGGTAATGCTGGAAACCTGTCTAACTGGTTTGTACTAATTTCCAGTTAATGAATCAGTCATTAGCCTCATTGTGTGTGTGCAGAAACTAACACAAAGCTAACTGATAACAACTAAGATTAACATTTGTTATTTGTGAGTTGGTTGTTGGCCACACTGTTATTTTGGCAAAATGTTCCAGCCTTGCAGTAATGAATTTTACTTCTGTCATATTATATTGTGGTTGTATTTTAATTAATAAATCAATGTTTCATGACAATTTTAATSTAATTTAACCAATATAATAACACATTAGTAATTATTTTAAACCATGACCCCATGTGTTAATATAATATTTGTTATTGATACTTGATCAAGTGATACAGCTAAAAAGGGATTATATTGAATGAGGTGACAATTGCATAAGAAATATTATTTTGAGTTTATTTTGCCATATTATTYTATTTTAAACTATGCTGTGAATGAAACAGTATCTTTTTGAACGTTGATGGATTTTCATTTTCTAAAAAAAATTAAGATAAATAAAAAGAGATAGTTTTCCTGTTTCTCAGAAACCTATGCATTTAATTGTGTTTGTGTATTGGCATTCTATATCAACATCCTTCAAAACAATGGAAGAAATTGCAATTCACAGACAACTACATGWATAAGTAAGAAGAAACCTAGCTTTACTAATGTTGCTGGTATTATGGTAATTTTAGGTATGGTATTCCAATCGTCGTGCAAAGTGGAGAAAAGATGGTAAAGGTGGCCCAGGAAGCCCTGCTTCATCACCATCCAATCAACAAATGCAGACRTCATACATATCTATGCCAAATGGTTATCAACAGATGCATACTGTGATCAGTCCTGGAACCGGTCATCCACAGTTAACACCTGTTGAAGCTGATCATACTCAAGTCCACTATCCACCATCTAATGAGGTAGGTACAAACTMTTTAATACCATGAATAACCCAGGCACCTCATGGTACCTAGCCTGTGTGTCTCATTGCTATTATATTATGCTTTTTAGTTGAGTTTGGAGCAACAAGTTTTGTCAGTGACATGTGCAGGTTGTCAGGGGCAGCATCAAAGATGTTCAGTAGCACGATACTGATGTCATCCGCAATAAATAAAGCATGTGTTTATTAGTAATGTTGCACCAAAGCTTCTGTCACACCAAACTCGACTGATAAGCATAGTACCTAAGGACCTAACAGTAAATGATTRATTGAATGAATRAACAAATGAATGCCTTACCATTGAATCTTYATTTGAACTGTATTATTTCATAGTAAGTGATTAGCTTAAACATTTTCTGTAGTYGAGGCTGTGATGCTGTTTTCTTTGTTCCCTAGTACTTTTCTTTCTCTATTGGTCCATCTTCATTTCCTTTACTTTTTGACATCCCCTTAGAACAAAAAAAGAAATTTATATTAATAGACATAGGGTCACTTGACAGTCAACTCAATATAAATAGTCCTATAATAAGTAATCCAAGCCATAWACTTTTTATGTAATTGCAGAGTGTTCAAATAAAGAAGGAGCTGACAGAACTGAAGCCAGTTTCAGAGAATAACCTTGGAATGCATCCAACTATTGGTGTCTCTACCATCCAAGTAGGACAAGGTCAACTACCTCAATATGAAGTCATGAAATCATTACCTCCCATGAGTGCTCCAAGCCCAACATATATTGCTGTACCATCATCTACAGCATCCATGCAATTACACAGTTCTCAAATGTACAACCAGTACAATGGGCAGAACTATAGCACATACACTACTTCAACTACTAGACAAAGCATTCCCACTCAATCACTCTCGGGTATGACATATACAATATTTATTGAAAAGTGACAAAGATTTTTTGCTTTTGAATTTTTTTATTCATATGGGCAGGGTAATGTATGTGCCAGTAATATCTTGCTTATGATCAGCCTTCAATCAATCTTGACTAATTCCACTAAAATCCATCCAAATGGCTTAGCTTCCATCAGAATTCCTTGAATACAGTTTGCATAAAGTTGCACTTCTATATTCATGATTCCATTTTGTATGTTAACAGGAAATCCAGCCTCAAGYCAAGCTATGTCACCTCCTGCAGCAAACACAGCTCCTGGTGGCTATGTCCTTCCTCCTGTCAGTACCCTWACCAAAGGACATGTTTTTGAAAACCAAGGCCAATACCAAACAGCACAGTATGCTCAGATTCCTCCTGGTGCTTATCCTTCTGATCAATGGATACAGGCTTATCCTGGACAAGGCTTTATTGGAAGACCAACAGTATTYGCTGTTCCTGCACAATGGTAGGTAAATAACATCCAATCTTCAACTATTGTATGCAATGGTAACTGCTCCAAAAAAAATCAGTGTTTCATCTAATTATGCTGCAC